TGGATCAGTCGACCCATCGTAACTTATGTTTAGATCTCGAAAACCTTGCGGCAGGTCGGCATCCAGGATGTGCTACGAGAACGGATGTCCCCTTGAGCCTCCAACTTTTCTCCCCTTGACTCGGGCCTGTAAATCGCGAACTTGAGCCAGCAATTGCTCCAGCGTCTCATCTCTCGCTTGCGGGTTAGCGGTCCTGATGGAGGACGCTTCCTCCTCCACCCTCCAGATCTGTCTATCATTGGACTGGGCTTGTTGCTCGTGATCAGGGGGTGGCAACTCGACCCTTTGTTGCTCGACTCTAGGTGGCTCCCTCCTAGGTTGTTCGACCCTGGGTTGCTCGACTTGCACCTGTTTGAGTTGAGCTGCCACCGCCTCTGCAATCATTCTTTGCATTTCATTCCTCGTCGTAGTCACCATTTGCTCCTCGACTTGGGGTGGTGGTCTTGCCCCTTGCTCCAACATTTCAGACCGCTTTTCCAAGCTCAAAGCCGTTTTGGCCGACTTATTCTCGTCAATTCCCGTGTCGATGGCCCTTGTCTGGCTAGATCCTCCTTGTGCTAGCCCTGGAATCTTCACCCCAGGTGGTGTGAAGGGTATTTATTCCTCCCTACGCGCTCTCGACGGCGCGTGCCCTCCGAACGGCAGAAAACCGAGCACCTGAAGTGGTGGTCTAGGGCCAGGAATCGGCGGCGGGCGTTTATCCGTCCATGCTGCCCGAAAATCCTCATTCAAATTTCTCGACAATCCTTCCTTCTCCGCCATGTCAAACAGATCGGAACTAGGTGCAAAGCTATTATTTCCTTCAAGAACTCCCCATAGACGGCGCCAATTTGATGGGTCTCCCCCTAAATCTGGACTGAACCGGTGAAAATGAGCTCCGGTCTATTCGAATCGTCTCCAAGTCGTTTGTAGACCGCCACGAACACCTGCAAGAACTCAACACCGGAAGTGTTTTCCGATGAAGAGCCTCCGACGCTCAAGTCAGTAAGAGAAGAGAGGAGGAGCTCTGCTCAGTGAGAGCAGCAGCTGAAGAATGAATGGAGAGAATCCAAGTTAGGGTTTAGGGTTACCTTAGCTCCTTTATATAGAAGTAGAAACACTTACTTGAAGTACCTAAAATGCCCTGGCCGACTTATGCGAAGTACCTAAAATGCCCCGGTCGGTTCGCATCCCGCTTACTCTTGAGTCAGTAACTAGATTCCTTCTTATCCTGTGTAAACTCGCACTTGGGAACCTTCCATGTGTCGCATCTGCACATCGAGTCATCGGAGGTCTTCATAAGTCGACTTGTAACCTTGCCGAGTCGATCTAAGGTTATACAAGTACCCAGGGGCTCTTAGAGTGCCGGCTCGTCATCTCCAACGAAATCGTCTTGTGTCCGGTCGACTTTATAAAGTCGACTAGAGACCGAGGCCGGTCCGACGGCTTTTGAATAGCCGATGGGCCAAGTCGACATCGTTGGTATCGACTTAGTGGGGGTCGTCTGCAGTCTTCAGTCGGGCAATTACTGTCTGAGCTGGGCCATAACAATAGGGCTATATCACAAGTAAAAATAGATAGTCTTTCAAGTCTCAGAATTGGTGAATTTCTCCCACATATGATCAATTAGTGCATTTTGAAGTGCAATGTGATCATCTTTATTTCTAATTTTTTTGTACCGAGATATGAATTCTTCAAATCGAGTGCTTTCATCTACTGCCATTTCGACCTCCGGCGGCGGCGTTTCCATTTCAATTTCCATTGGTGCACTTAGGTCACGTTTATCCTCGACAATCATGTTATGCAAAATTATACATGTGGTCATGATATCATGTAGCACTTCTTTTCGCCAGTAACGTACTGGTCCTGCTACAATGCCAAAACGTGATTGAAGAACTCCAAATGCACGTTCAACGTCTTTTCTGCATGCTTCTTGTTCGTTGCAAAATATTTTTTTTCGGACCACGTGGCTCATGAATTGTTTGCACAATGGTAGACCATTTTTGATATATGCTATCAGCTAAATAATAACCCATGTTGTATTCTTTTCCTTGAATTATATAATAAGCTGGAGGAGCAATACCTTGGTTTAGATCCGAGAAAAGATGATATGATTCTAGAACATTGATATCGCTGTTGGAGCCCGGCAAACTAAAATAAGCATGCCATATCCATAGATCATAATCTGCTACAGCTTCAAGAATGATTGTAGGCTTTCGACTACGACCAGCATATTGGCCAGCCCACGCTGTAGGATAATTTTTTCACTTCCAATACATGCAATCTAAAGTCCCAACATTCCTGGAAAACCACGTTGTTGACCAATATATAGAAGCCTGGAAATATCATTAGATGTGGGTCTCCGCAGGTATCGCTCGCCAAATACCTCAATTGTCGCTCGACAGAACTTTTTCATACTTTCAATTGCAGTAGACTCACCAATTTTGACATACTCGTCTGTAGCATCTGCTAGAACGCCGTATGCCAACATACGAAAGACGACAGTTATTTTATGTATTGGAGATAATCCAAGTCTTCCAGCTCGATCCACTCGTTGTTGAAAGTAATGATCATGATCTTTGACTGCATCGACAATTCAAAGGAACAAGGAGCTAGACATTCTGTATCTTCTACGAAACATGCTCTCGTTATACAATGGATTTTCTGAGAAATAATCATTGTATAACCTACGATCAACAACCTCTCGATCACGATTGATATCAATATGCCCAGGAACAGAACCTCCATGAGAGGCTTCTTGGTTTTGTTGATTGAGAAGGTGTTGAATGATGATGTTGTTATTAGCGATAACACGAGATATCACTGCTTGTTTTTGACGAAGAGAAGTCATAATTAGTATATGATCATCTTCAGAATCAGATGAAGAAGATGACGAATTGCCAAAATTAAAATTCATTGCAGAAATGTAGAATTGAGAAATATGATAAGATGTTTGAAGAGATTCAAGTGTGTAAAGGATTTAGTTTATGTTATGTTCTTATAGTAGTGAATTTGAAAGGTGTGGTAAACTTTTTAGGGAGTGGTCATTTTCAAGTACAAAGCATTGATAGGCGTAACAGTCTTTGCAGTGGGAGGTCCTTTTCGGGTCAAAGTCGTGATAGGTGTGGGGAATATGGCAGTGATATGTCATTTTCGAGTCAGAACTTGGAGAATTGTGACCACCTTTGCAGATAATGCTCATTTTCAGGTCAAAGCATTGAGATGTGTGGGAAACATTGCAGTGATATGTCATTTTCGAGTAAGAACTTGGAAAAGCGTGTCACCTTTGCAGAGAGTTCTTATTTTTCGGGTCAAAGCATTGATAGGTGTGGGGAACATTGCAGTGATATGTCATTTTTCGAGTCAGAACTTGGAGAATCGTGACCACATTTGCAGAGAGTGCTCATTTTTGGGTCAAAACATTAAGAGGTATGGGAAACATTGTAGTGATATGTCATTTCGAGTCAGAACTTGGAGAAGCGTGTCACCTTTGCAGAGAGTTCTCATTTTTCAGGTCAAAGCATTGATAGGTATGGGGAACATGGCAGTGATATGTCATTTTCGGGTCAGAACTTGGAGAATCGTGGCCACCTTTGCAGAGAATGCTCATTTTTGGGTCAAAGCATTGAGATGTGTGGGAAACATTGCAGTGATATGTCATTTTCGAGTCAGAACTTGGAAAAGCGTGTCACCTTTGCAGAGAGTTCTTATTTTTCGGTTCAAAGCATTGATAGGTGTGGGGAACATTGTAGTGATATGTCATTTTGGAGTCAGAACTTGGAGAATCGTGACTACATTTGCAGAGAATGCTCATTTTCGGGTTAAAACATTAAGAGGTGTGGGAAACATTGCAGTGATATGTCATTTCGAGTCAGAACTTGGAGAAGCGTGTCACCTTTGCAGAGAGTTCTCATTTTTCGGGTCAAAGCATCGATAGGTGTGGGGAACATGGCAGTGATATGTCATTTTCGGGTCAGAACTTGGAGAATCATGACCACCTTTGCAGAGAGTGCTTATTTTCGGGTAAAAACATTAAGAGGTGTGGGAAACATTGCAGTGATATGTCATTTTCGAGTCAGAACTTGGAGAAGCGTGTCACCTTTGCAGAGATTTCTCATTTTTTTGGTCAAAGCATTGATAGGTGTGGGGAACATTGCATTGATATGTCATTTTTAAGTCAGAACTTGGAGAAGTGTGTCACCTTTGTAGAGATTTCTCATTTTTTGGGTCAAAGCATTGATAGGTGTGGGGAACATTGCATTGATATGTCATTTTTGAGTCAGAATTTGGAGAATTGTGACCACCTTTGTAGAGAGTGCTCATTTTGGGTCAAAGCATTGAGATGTGTGGGAATCATTGAAGTGATATGTCAATTTCGAGTCAGAACTTGGAGAAGCGTGTCACTTTTGTAGAGGGTGTTCATTTTCAAGTCAAAGCATTGATAGGTGTGGGAACATTGAAGAGATATGTCATTTTTGAGTCAGAACATGGAGAAGCGTGTCACCTTGGCAGAGGGTGTTCATTTCGGGTTAAACCATTGAGAGGGGAGAGACTCTTTCACTATAAAAGAAGACATGATATTGTAATGGCTCCATCCCAGCATTTATATTCTATACACTAAACATTCATCACATCTAACTTCTTGTAAGAATGTCGATCCGTTCATCTTCCTATGCCCAAGACGAAGATATTCTTTTATGTCAGGTTTATATGGATATTTCTCAGGACCCAATTATTGGGGTATACCAATCATCTGACCGATTTTGGTCATGTATAGAGAAAGCTTTCAATGAGCGAAGACTTGAGCATTGGGTGGTTCGTAGCCAGAGATCTATGCAAGCACAGATTGAAACAGAAAAAGCAGCCAAAAGACTCCATGCATGCATAAAAGCAGTAGAAGATATGCATCAAAGTGGTGCTTCAAATGAAGATACAGTGAGTATTAAAATCTTATTATATATTTTACTTATTAAATTTATTATATATATTAGCTATGTTTGATTGTTTATATAAAAATGTAGATGCTCAGAGCGAAAATGTTGTTCAAAGAAGATTCCAAATTCAAGTCTGGATGGAAATACGACCATGTTTGGAATAATATTAAAAACTTTGAAAAATTTCAAGATGGAGCTTCGAGGAGCAAGAAAAAACAATCCTACTTCCTTAGTACCGTTTTCGGTGCCCGTACTCAGAGTGACTTGTCTACCTCCAGAGTTGAACTCCATAATTCCTGTTCGATAGTCAGTAGTTACCCTACCTAGCCCCTAAAGCCATTGCACCCCTAAAACGACATCCGGTCCAACCAAAGGTAAGGCGTAGAGATCAGCCTTCACAGTGACTCCGTTAAATTTGATTGGCACCTTCCGGAATGACTCAGTACATTGTAACCTTTCTTCATTGGCTACTCGAACTTCGAAGGGCTCGATTTTTGTGGTTGGCAACTTCAACTTTTCAGACAACTCAGCATTGATGAAGTTATGAGACGAACTGTTGTCTACGAGTACAATTACTCTTCGATCCTTGACCCATGCTGGTAGACGCATCGTCCTTGGTCCTCTGATTCCAGCCATTGCATGCATCGAGATTTCAGGCTCCTCATGAAGTACTTCACTCACCTCTTCCTGATGTGATTCCTCCTCGACCTCAGCTTCCTCATCGTCGGGGTTGGCCACCTCGATTACAAAGGCCTGCTTACATTGATGACCGGGGGTAAACTTCTCCTCACACTTAAAGCAGAGACCTTTCTCACATCGACGTTTAACTTCCTCGGGGGACAGCCGCCTCACTACCGACCCTGCAGGCCGATTGCTGACGTTTGGTCGTGCACTGACCGTGGCTTGGTTCGATCCCGTGCGTCGCGTGTCCGCGAATCGCACATCTGCCCGTCCCCTTCGCGTAGCGGCCAGGTGATCTTCGCGTCGTCGGGCAACCTCCATCGCATCATGCATGGTATCCGGCCTTTCGAGTCGGACCTCCGCAGCTAGGTCAAATTTTAATCCTCCTACAAATGCTCCGACCAACGCATCTTCGGGCCAATCACGTACACGGCAGGCCAACCGCTCAAACTCCCTGATGTACTCGCGTAGGCTACCTGTCTGCCGTATGCGTGTGAGAGCCTCATTGTAGTTGTGGTAATCAAATGTACCAAACCGTGTAAGCAACTCTCTTTCAAAAACTTCCCAAGTGATGATTTGCTGTCGCTTTCGATAAATCCTTGTGAGCCATTGCCACCATACATTAGCCTCACCATCGTGATAATAAGCGGCATACCTGACGCGATCTGTACCGTCGGTTTCATTGAGCTCAAAATATTGCATTGCCCTATTGAGCCATGCGTCTGGATCACTGCCCGTGAACGTGGACAACGTGATGCGCGGTTTGTCGGGTGCACGCCGATCGCGGTATGTGGACGCCTGGGACTGCCGATCGAGGTCGTCCTCGCGCTCATACTCCTCGCGCCGCCGATCGTCTCCTTCAGGCCGCTCGCGGTCGTGCTGTCGCGCCTGATCGCGTTGCCGCGGCGGTGGCAGGCGAGCGAGAACCGTGCGCGCCATCTCATCAAATCG